TGCTCTGGATACAATTTCTTCAATGTGGTTCCCCCACGTAAGTGTGTTAGAAACCAAGATTCCCAGATCCGAGTATGACGATACACTTACCAGCGGCTGGTCGTCTAGATTATATTGTCTATCAATGATAGTACCAGGCTTTTTCCTTGAGATGTGTAATGCTTTGCATTTGGACACGTTGAAAGGAATACCCCAATCAACATGCAGTCCATTGATGTAATTGCCCAAGGTCTTGTTGAAGAAGCCTACTAGAATCCGTGGAATCAATGGTTTTATATAGTTTTGAGTCATCTGCATATAAGGCAATTTTAGAGCTGTTTTGAGTGTAGTACGGCAGGTCATCAATGTATATAAGGAACATGATAGGCCCAAGGATGGATCCCTGAGGAACATCGGATGTTACGGGCAACCAATCCGAAGCACCACCCTCAAGCACGACTCGTTGATATCTACCTGTTAGATAGCTTTTAAACCATTGTAACAGCGGCCCAGAGATGCCTCTATCTTTAGCAATAGGAGGCGATGGGATACTCTATCGAACGCCTTAGATAAGTCCAGGTAAAGCACATCTGTTTCTTTTCCACAAGCGAGGTTGGTAAGAATATCGTGATATACTTGTAGCAATTGCGAGACTGTTGATTTCCCTTTTAAAAATCCGTGTTGGAGGTCATAAATATTGGATGTGAGATAGGGATAGCAGTGCGTGTTTACACATCTCTCCAAAACTTTAGAAATAAAACATAGCAATTGCAAGGAGATTGGTCAATATAGTTGGAAGGAAGGGTTGGATCGTCAGTCTTAAAAACAGGTGCAATGTTTGCAAATTTCCAGTTAGTGGGAAAAACACCAAGTGAAAGAGACAAATTGAATACAGAACATAACGACGGCGCAATTTCATCGGGCGCAATTTCATCGGCCACATTTTTTAGCAGTCGATTAGGGATACCATCGGGGCCGCTAGCCTTGTTTGGATCTAGTCCTTTGAGAACACTAGCTACTTCACATGTTGATAGTTGAATATTATTTAAATAGTTTGGAGGTATACATGATCTAGAAACGTGGAGAGGATTTGGATTTAATTCGTTTTCAGCTGCAAAGACAGAATGGAAATACTTGTTCAATAAGTTAGCTTTGGTGTAGCTATTTGTAATGAAAGATTGACCGTTTCATAAAAAATTAATGGCACTTTTCTGATTGGTAATTGATTTTACATATGACCAAAATCGCTTAGGATTTTCACCAAGTGCTACTTTCATTTTGTATGAATGATCTTTCTTTTTCTGTGCTATCATGCGTTTAGTATCACGACGCAGATCTTTAAACTTATCCAAGTCATTTTGAGAACCTGTTTTAAAAGCTTTCTTTCTTTGCGTATTCTTTTTCTTACTAAGCGTTAATAGTTCTTTATCGATCCAGGGGTGCCTGTTTATATTTCTTGAGGTGCATTTAGGGATGGAATTGTCCACAGCCGCAAGAAACATGTCACACCAATTTGAAAGGGATGTGTCAACATCATGAGTAAGTAAGCCTGCTTCCCAAGGGACTTTCGACAGAAGCTCCTTGAGGCCTTGTCAGTCGGCCTTTTTAAAGTTATAAACGCGCCGTTTGATTCTTGGTCTTTTCTCAACTTTTAAATTGATATCAAAACTTATTACTTTATGATCTCTCTTTAGGATATCATCAAAACCGTGAACATTACAGATCTTTTGAGGGACATTTGTAAGCAACAGGTTGACTAGCTGCCAGAGATAGTTATCTTTGACCAATTTGGTGAAATAATTGTGGGAAGCGTCTCCTACTGTAGTTACTCCTGTTGTCCAGTCAATGTGAGGAAAATTAAAATCCCCACAAATAATTATCTGATCGATTTTAGCTTTCATAGCTAAAGAAATAGATTTTTTAAAATCCCTAATGTATGCAAATTCTGCGTTTGGCGGTCTATACAGCACAACAATAAGAATTTTTCTCTTCGACTGAGGGCGGATTTCAGATATTAAAATTTCGGTATTGCATTCAAAATCTCTTCGACGGAGAGTCGGGATCGTATTTCTAACAGCTAGCATTACACCGCCTCCTGTTCTGCTTTCCCTATCACGTCTAAGGATGGAATCGTTACCCGGCAAGATTTCACTGTTCAAAACGTTCGACTTTAGCCAAGTTTCGGTTATTGCAATAAGGTCAACATCAGCAGCGAGTGTTTGCAATTCATCAGTTTTGTTCGTTAAGACTTCTAGCATTTGAATACAAACATTTGATTGAACACATCGCATCGTTAGTAGGACCAGGATTCGGATGCATATTAACCAAGAAAACTTTTCCGGCAGTGAAGCATGCCATACTGTTGTTGTAATAATGTATACTTCAGAAAGATATATTTTAACGTATTACTATTAGCTATATTGTAATTTATTTGCAGAACCTCCCTGAAAACCACGTATGTGATGGAAGCTGTTAAAATGTTACTTTAATAATAATAATAAAGTTTTGCATATATATATATATATATATATATGTACTTCTAATTCGCTGCAGATTTCTTTCAGCATTTTGACATTGAATTTTTCCAATTCGTTACGTTGGCGTAATTCACAAGTTTATACTTATATATTAACGCAACACGCAAGCAAGTTTATATGAAAGCAAGTTAATATCAAAACCGTGAAATTATACAAAATTTAGATATATTTTTTTATTTCAGCTGCATGTGTTTTTACAAAAATTAAAAAGTCAAAAATCACCTGTGGAAATAGTCTCGCGGTAAATTTTCGGCGTGAAAGCAAACAATTCTCGACAAGTTGCACGTGTTTTGACAGCCGAATTATTTAGCTGGTCAGCGGCTTCCGCAATAACAATAACAAAACGAGTAAAATTAAACGATGGAGGAATTGACTAGCATTGCCTGTTGACGAAGAATCACGATTTATATACAAGACTGTGTCTACAATAATCATTAAGATATCGAAAGTGATTAACACTAAAGAATAATGGAAGCTAACGAACGTCAATAAGTCAACTGACAATCGGGGTCATTGAATGACAAGGCTATGATCGAGGCATACTTTGTATCAATTATATTGGGGTAGGTTTTCTCTTGACTTTCTAAATAAATCTTCAACATAAATCGATGTTTGATAATTTGTTGACTAACGGACGTCTTTACATGATGCAAATGTATAACTTGTCTTGATTATATTCAGCTAGAAAATGTTTATTATTTATACAATACGGTCCATTACGTCCATGGAAATGCCTGTGTCAGTGCTTTTCCCTAAAAGACTTTAGACAACAGTAAAGGTCAAACGAATGTTCATCACTGTTCTAGGTCTAATAATATGTAAAATTTTGCTCTTTCAAAGCAGAGTTTACAGTAAACATGAACGTTCTTATTTGCTCCAAACTGCCGAAAGTCGAAAATGTTGATGTTTTGTTGGCCTGTAGTACCTCCAAAATTTACAGGCCGCAATATTTTATCTTATATTATGTAAGACCAACCTTTAATCTCACAATACAAATAATATTACATTCATAGCAAGTCTAACTTTTGAATTTTAGGGTTTTTATTTCACCCATTTTTAAGGAACTTGGAAATTTCTATTTTAGTCTATCATGAATGATGTCATTTCTATATTTAGAAAACAAATTTGAAAAGTTTATAGATACCTTGTTACTTAAGACATATAAAGCTACTATTGTCTGGAAAGATTTAGTTTTATGATTATTTTTGTTTGATGTACAGAGGTTTAAAAATCAGCAAAAATCCACTATTGAGAAACAGCAAAAATCGTAATTTTAGCCCTCAACTTGACCCCCCTGGAACTTTGCCAAAATGCAATTAGACTGAAAACAAAATGCATTTTGAAACAACCCTTATAAAGGCAATCTCAACTACAAAGTTTGAGAGAAATCTATTTGTTGATCCAAAGAGGTCATGAGGTTCTTACAGAGACTGCCTCTTAATAAAATACATTTCGCTGCACTAAGAAAAACATTGAAAATGTAATATTCAAATTCATGATAATTTTCTCCGGAACAATTTTACGGCAATTACCGATTTTCAAACGAGTTGTTCTCCTGCGGGTTCGAATTTTTCTCAAATTTTCACAGGATATAGCTAAAGACGTCAGTTTCAAAATTGTGTTCGGCTCTTTTCTAATTTTGGATATTTTAATATAATAATAAGGAGTAATTCACACAAACGATTCAGAAATATACTGCAGTCGTCAAAGAAATCGCTATATCAGCGGAATGACGAAATAAACAAAAAATTCCGAACACAATTTTTTAGAACAACTATTTTACTGTATAAAAATGATATTTCCCTAAATATATCTTAAAACCAGCAGGAACACAACTAAAAAGCGTGAAGGTACCGTGATTTAAGATTTTGCTGAATAATTCTTAAATTATTTTATTGTCTGTCCATTTTACAACTTTACCATATTTTGCCTAAACTGGCGAACATTTGATGAAAATCGGACTGATATTGAGCGCGCAGTAGCGATTTTCCGCAAAACACCAAAAAGGGTGTCCTGTAACCTTAAGTTGTCGTCGAATCAGACTTGGTTTGTCTTCGGCAACCTTCAACCGGATAACACGTTTAGATTTGAGATTTCATCCTTATCAAATGATTAAACGGCACCAACTTCATCAACGTGATCATCTGCGTCGGCTACAGTTTTGCAGGTGCCTACGTGATCGGAACGACCGTTTTCTTGACGATTTACTCATTGGCGACGAATCAAGGTTTGCACTGAATGCTTCGGTCAACACCCGCAACATTCGAGAATACCAACCACGAGGCGAACAACCGGTAGATTTCCAATATCAGCGAAATGATGACCGACATAAGTTAACGGTTTGGGTTGGGTTAATGGGAAATGGCACTGTTATCGATCCCTTTTTCTTCCAAAACAACATTGATGGGTTAAATTACTTGCAGTTGATTGATGACCAAACTGTCCCTGTTTTACGGCAGTTGCCCCGTTATCGCAACAGGCGTAATGTGCCATTTCGTCGAGTATGGTGGGCACAGGACGTTGCTCCTTGTCATTCGTGCAATTAATGGTGGAATGGTTCTTCGAAGTTATATAGAAACTTACAAGGATCTATCTCTAGAGCGGGTACGAAAAATCCTTCGAAACTATTATGATGTAAAAAATGCAACTGAGCTATATCAAAGTCTTGCATCAATATGTCAAGGGTCAAAAGAAACACCACAAGAATTCCTTATGCGTGCCTTGGATTTACGCCAGAAAATCCTGTTTTCAAGCACTCAAGATCAAAGTGAGGACACTTTGGTTTATGAAAATGATCATATTCAAAAGCTGTTTCTACGTACTGTTGAAACTGGCCTTCAAGATGAAAATGTTAGAATAAGGGTTAGGGGGTACCTCAGAAACCCCACAATATCAGATGAGGAGCTTATTTTGCAAGTAAATAATGCAGTGTCGACAGAAAATGAACGGGTAAGAAAACTAAGAAACCAGAACCTCCCAAAGTCTGCCCAGGTTTCCCAGGTAGCAGAGAAAGCTGAGTCCCAAGATAAAATTCTAAAGACTCTGGAAGCACTGAAAGTTGAAGTGGCACAAGTTAAGAGTCAGTTGAAGGATATCAACCAAGAAACTGAACAAGCTCGATTACCAAATTCGCCTGCGCCAGTAGACACTAGAAACCAGAGAAGAAATACGCCGCCAAAATGCTTGCAGTGCCAAACTAGTGGAAATGACAAATGCTCTCATTGTTTCATTTGTGGAAGTGACAATCATTTTGCAATTGAATGTCGACAGAATCGTGGAAAGAATGCTTTAAACTCCAGGAGGCTGCCTCTCCGGGGCCAGAAGTAGCCGAAAGAAGTTTGCGGTCCCAAAGATGTAGTTATTGTGGCAAGGACGATGGTCAAATGACGTTGTACTGTTGTGCACAATGCAAATGTATAGTTTATTGTTCAAAAACTTGCCAGAAAAGACACTGGAATGATCATAGGAACAATTGTAAAACTCTTCGGGACCTGACATGGGCATGTCAAAACAAAACACGCAGCAATAATAAGACATTTACCAGTCACCTAACTCCTAGTGAGCATGCAAAGATTGCTAAGCTAGTAGGAAGACGGTGCACTGTAAAGTGTTCTCTAAATGAATTTGAGTCAACAGTATTATGGGATAGGGGTGCACAAGTATCTATCGTGTCCAAAGAAATGATGGAAAAACATTTTCCTAAAAATGTTATAAAGAACATTTCAGAACTTATTAATGGTGAATTGGATTTAACAGCAGTTAATGGTACACGAATTGCGTATAGTGGTTGGACTGAGATAGAAGTTAGATTGATTTCATCAAAAGAAAAGGATCCATCGGTTATGGTTCCTTTCTTAGTAACAAACGACAGTTTAGAATATCCCATTCTTGGATATATACAATGCTTTTGAAGAACTAATCAAGCCGATGAATACATCTGATATTCAGTCAGCACATATTGCTACAGTACAAGCTAGTTTTCAAGGTTTTGATGAGAAAGTGTTACTCGAATTGGTTAGACTGATACAGACAGCAAGAGCAAATGAACTATGCACGATTAAGAGCCCAAAGAAAGACTTTGTTATTCCGGCAAAGAAAACATTTAAAGTTAACTGTCGAGCGAATACTGGACCGGTAGAAGAAACTACACTTGTATTGTTTGAACCGGACGAATTAACGCCCTGGCCAGACGGTTTATCGGTGCACGAAACGGTAACAACAGTGAAACAAGGCTCAACGTCTCAAGTAAAGATAGATGTGACTAATACAACTAATCATGACATTGTCGTGTGTAAACACACAGTATTAGGAAGTCTTCAGTTAATTAAATCGATTACACCTGTAGAAGTGAAGTTGGCAGAAAAGTCAAGCAAAGAGAAAGAACGAACAGTAACAGCCACACAATCCCAAGTGAATGCAATGGCGAAAGAAACACGAGAAAGAGACAATACAAATGATGACCAGTTTTTACCTGAAGTTGACCTTAGTGGATTAACAGAACGTCAACGTCAAGTGGTTACTAACATGTTGAAGGAAGAATGTCACTCTTTTGCAAGAAATGATGAGGATATCGGTTATATCAAAGATCTAGAACTAGAAATAAATTTGACAACAAACGAGCCAGTGCAAAAGAACTATGTATCGGAACTATGAATCTATGTATCTATGTATAAACATGTATGTATGTATATAATCTATGTATGTATGTATCTATGTATGTATGTATCTATCTATCTATGAACTATGAATCTATGTATCTATGTACTTGAACTATGTATCTATGTACCAAGACCTCTCTAGCCGGAAGTAAAACAGTACATTGAAGATTTGTTAAATAACGAATTTATAAGAGAGTCAAAATCAGCTTATTCATCCCCAGTAGTATGTATTCGCAAAAAGGATGGAACTCTGCGACTTTGTGTCGATTATAGAGAACTTAACCGTAAGACAGTGCGGTCAGTGCCAGATAGGCATCCTATTCCGCGCGTCCAAGAAGCTCTCGATAGTTTAGGTGGTAACGCTTGGTTTAGTGTATTGGATCAGGGTAAGGCGTATCATCAAGGATTTGTGAAACCATCCTGCCGACCATTAACAGCATTTGTGACACCCTGGGGGTTATATGAATGGGTAAGAATTCCATTCTATCTTATGAACGCTCCAGCAAGTTTTCAGAGGTTCATGGAACAGTGTTTAGGAGTATTACGTGATGAAATTTCCATTCCTTATTTGGATAATGTGAGCGTATTTAGTAGAACATTCGACGAACATGTCGAACACTTACGAACAGTTTTACGTCGCCTAAGAGAACACGGTGTCAAATTAAAGCAAAGAAAATGTAAATTGTTCAAACGTGAAGTCACATTCTTCGGTCGAGTAGTGTCGAAAGATGGCTACAGAATGGATCCCGAGAACATTAACGCAGTTGCGAGTCTAAAGAACAATACTCCTCATACAATAGGAGATCTGCGGAAAATGCTTGGATTACTCAGTTACTATCGTCGTTATGTACCCAATTTCGCGCGAAAGGCTAAACCATTATACGACCTTGTTACACAAGCAGCAACAACAGACCCGTGTCATGATCAAGAGAAAGGTAACAAAAACACCAGAAAGAAAGGTCAAGTGCCATCATCATTCAAAATCGCGTGGACTGAGATACATCAGACTGTGTTAGAGAAACTCATTGACCATCTGATAACACCTCCGGTTATGGCATATCCAGATTATCAAAAACCCTACATCGTGCACACTGATGCCTCGAAAGACGGTCTAGGTGCTGTCTTATACCAGGAACAGGAAGAGACAATGCGAGTCATTGCGTACGCCTCTCGGAGTCTGACGAATGCAGAAAAGAACTATCACCTCCATGCAGGAAAATTAGAATTTCTGGCACTCAAATGGGCAATCACCGACCACTTCCGTGATTATTTATATTACGCGCCTGAATTTACGGTTTATACCGATAACAATCCATTAACATACGTTTTAACATCTGCACGACTTAATGCCACAGGCTTAAGATGGATTGGAGAACTGGCCGACTTTAAGTTCAACATCCGTTATCGTCCAGGAAAACTCAATGGAGACGCCGATGCATTGTCCAGAATGCCTATGAAAATTGACGATTATATGAAAACATGCAGCGAAGAGGTTAATCGCGACGCTAGCTTTCCAAGCGACAGTTTGTGGAGCAAAAGTACAGGTCGAACAGTTTCAAACACCTTTGCTCTTTCCTCCTGAGATTACTCGAGCAGATGTTAGTTTAAACCAAGCATCTATAAATTTGAAGACAGCACAGAATGACGACGCAGATATTGACCGCGTCATAACACTCGAAATAGCGAACACGTATATATATTTGTCTCCTCATGAAAGAAAGCAGGAAAGCCACACTGTACAGCAGCTGTTAAAAGAATGGAATAAGTTAAAAGTGGGGACTGATGGAGTTCTGTACCGACTAGCAGGAACAGTCCGTCAAGTTGTACTACCTGGACGTCTACGTCAACAAGTTTATAAAGAGTTGCATGAAGAGATGGGTCATTTGGGTTCTGAACGTGTCATAGACTTGGCTCGAGAACGATTTTTTTGGCCTCACATGAAACAAGATATAACTCACTACGTCACGAAAGTTTGTCATTGCTTAAAGAGTCGAAAACCCTTAAGGGGGTCTTCCACCCTAAAAACATTTTTTTCAATTTAAAGGTTTTATCATCATATTTGAGTCAAATATGATGGAATATCCTCAGCTGACGCAGGGTCAGTAACTTTTACATTCGTCGTTGCCATAGTAACTAAGATAGGCCTCGCTATAGGGTAAAATATAGGGTTTGCTCCAAAAATGATGTGAGCCAAACTAATTTACCGAGGATTTTAGAAACAGCTTTAATGGACACTTAATACATCGATCTATGTCATTAACCTAAAAAATATACAAGTAATATAATAAGGCCTTCATATTTTACTTTTTTAAAATTATATGAAGAAAGGAGTTCTTATAAGGCTACTCTTGCAATGTATATTGCTGATATATGAAGTTTTTTAGATCCATGACATGGCTATGTAACAAGCAAATAAACTCGGAAAATTTCGAACGAATTGATTCAGTATGAACAGTAGGAGAGTTTTTAGTATTTCGCAAAATGCTCATGTGAGAAAAGCGATTTTAAAGTTTTTGCATATATTAGAATAACTTAGATAGAACAATATAATTGAAAATGGAACAATAGACTAAGCCAATCGCATATCTTTATCGCTCCGGGTAAAATCGTGGTTTTACCCTACCGGAAGGTGTAGAATTTTCTCATTTCTCTGGTTTACGGTACATTTTCGTTCTTAAAATTACACGGATTTTATAAAGAACGCTATAAAGACTACATTTTTACGTTTTTCTAAAAAATAACGAATATTGGAAAATTTGGGTGGAAGACCACCTTAAGAAACCAACGTGAACCATTACATCCAATCGTAACTACCGCACCCTTCCAAATGGTTTCTATCGACTACCTTCACCTCGAAACAAGCGTAGGAGGCTATCAATACATCCTGGTTGTTATGGACCACTTTACGAGGTATGCTCAGGCTTACGCGACTCGTGACAAATCGGCCAAGACCGCTGCAGACAAGTTAGAGTTAAACACCGAGGGCGGAGGTATTTAGTCATATACATATGACTAAATACCGACGCCCGAGGTGTTTAACTAACTTATTTCATGATCTGGAGGTTTATTCACAAAACAGCTCTTACGCTTGTGGGACGTAACGCAAGTTTGAGCAATTCAAATTCATACATCAGCCCCGCTCTTCCCTGCTGAAAATCAAATTCCTCCCCGGGCTTTCAGATGGACGAGTAATTACGCTAGATACAAGGTCTTGAATAACAAAAGAAAGCGACTCAATCATGAAATAAGCTCTATAACGACTTTATCTTGCGCTATGGCTTCCCCGAGAGGATGCACCACGACCAAGGTGCTGAGTTCGAGAATAAACTTTTCTTTATTAACCTGGAAAAAGTAAGCGGAATTAAACACTCTCGGACAACCCCTTATCACCCGGAAGGTAATGGGCAAGTTGAACGATTTAATAGAACGCTCTTGTCAATGCTTCGGTCCTTGCCAGACAAATACAAAAGTCGTTGGCGTGATCATCTCCAGAAAGTCGTACATGCATTCAATTGTACCAGAAATGACGCGACAGGATACTCCCCATTCCTCCTACTCTTTGGCAGACCCCTGCGATTGCCAATTGACCTTATGTACGGTCTGAAACCCCACCTGGCCATAGTACTTATCCTGAATATGTCAAGAAATGGCGAGAATCGATGTCCGAAGCATATCAACTTGCATCTGAAAAGGCAGAAAAGAACGCTACGAGTGGGAAAGTGCAATATGACAAAAAAGCTAAGAGTGCGAGTCTATGGTGTTAGACACTGATATCAAGAGTCACGAAATCAGAAAACGAAAATTGTTGAAATTGCCATCATGTTGCGAATAATGACTGTTAGAAAACAGAAACAATAAAACTTTACAAGAGTTAAAGTTCCAGGAAAAGTTCCTGACCAACAAGAAGTGAAAGCGGGGCCCGAAAAGATAAAGAAACACCTAGTTTAGATTACTGTCTAGGTTCAATATTTGTGAGTCTGATCAACCCACACAGTTGACCAAGAAGTAGCCAAGATGAATACAGACAAAAGCGTTAAATGTTGGGCTATATAAAAGATAATGAGGACAGCTTAAATTAATAGGAGGGGTGAGTGTAGGATGCCCATTAGCAATACGTCATGTAACATTAGTTAAATAAGAACTATTGCAGCATGTAGTTGTGACAGTTACCATAGTAACGAGAAAGGACCAGTGTGACCAGATTTGGTAAAAAGTTTTACTTTTGGTAAAATTTCGTGAATTTTGAAGAAAATTTGGTAATGAAACTTTTGGTAAAATTTTGGTAAAATCTGAAAGGTTTGAATTATTAAAAATAGTTGGTAAAAATGTGTGTTTCTTGTTTAATAACGTGCTCAAAGTGATGAACAGAACTGCCAAGCCTAAGAAATAAAGCCTTATCATTAGCAACAACTGCAATACAATGAAAGCAACAAGTATTTCGAGACACTTTTTGTGAATATTTTTTCTACTTTGATGACGTAACTATTGTTTTTTGGCATTATCATGACGTAATTATTCGGGAAGCCGACATTTGGTAAAATTTTTCTTAATTTAGTAAAATTTGAACAAAATTTTGGTAATGACTGCTGAAAAAGTCTGGTCACACTAGCTGGAAAGGACAGACAAACAGATTTTCAAGATGGCGATTAAACAACCACGTTGTTATTAATGTTCACATTGTTTTACGAAATAAATTGTGCTTTCTACTGTTTTAATACTTGAATTATAGAATAGATCGAGAATTTAGTGAGCGGGCAACACTTACTCCGCTTGACTTTTTTCTTTGGGGTTATCTGAAGAGCAAGGTTTACCTAACGCCACCAGAAAATCTTGCAGAACTTGAGCGACGAATCCGCGAAGAGATGAATGTACCCAGACAAGATCGAGCAATGATACGCCGTGCTGTTTTTGACATGGTTAGACGTGCGCAAGTTTGCACAGAACGAAATGGAGGACACGTTGAAGACTAAGACAATTCGTTTCTTTTTTGCCGTAAAATTTACCTTTGTTTTATACTCCAGATGTAAAATAAATGTCGTTATTCAAAAGTATTTAAAAACATGCGCGAGTTTTAAATTGTATTTACTTAAAGAATTAAGATACATAATAGACCAATCCCCAATTAACCAAAATTTTGAACTCAACAAGTCTAGACAAAAATTTCATCACAGCTTGAAAGAGCATCACAAAATTAGTAATATTCCAAAATTTCGTTGTAAAATGCGGATAATATAGCATTGCGAAGTTTGCAATTTTCAGTCATTTTAGATTACAAACGGGAAATGGTTACCACTTCTGTGCGTAATACAAAATGACTGAAAATTGCAAATTTCGCAAAGCTATATATATTATCCGCATTTTACAACATTTCGCAACGAAACTTCGGAATATTACTAATTTTGTGATGCTCTTTCATGCTATGACGGAATTTTGTCTAGACTTGTTGAAATCAAAATTTTGGTTAATTGGGGATTGGTCCATTGACATGACTCATTTAAAATCAAAATGCAAATGCAAATTTGTGAATTCATAATGAAGCAAGAACAACACCAACGGAGAAAAATATTACGTTTTCATAGGCTTTTCGGCCTGCCGAAATTTTATCCCAAATTTTATCCAAAATCCTGCCGAAATTTTATCATAAATGCAACAAATAGCGAACTTTTCATACATGAACTCAAATAAAGAATACCGTTTGGCATTTCCGTGCGCAAGCCACTTTTAGGGGAGCAAAAGTTGACCACCCCCCTGGATAGCAAAATTTACTTTTTTCAAATTTTTCAATATTTTCCATAATTTAAGAACTCAAGCAATCCATACATATCAAAAATTACATTTCATGAACAGAATTGTGGAATTGAGAGCAATTTCAAAATTGTCTTACTTTTTTTTATACACACTGTATAGCAGTATTCGAAAATACTTGCATGCAAACGAAACTTCATCTGCAACAATGTATAACTAATAATAGTATCATTTGTCATTGATCCAGGCTGTTGTTTTGCTCAGTTTAACGCCAGGCGATTTCAACGTGCATCGGTGCATGCATGCATTTGGCAATTTTCAGGACCCCCGTGTTCAACCTCGTTCCCAGGCCCCTTTTATGGGCCCAACACACTCAACACAAAGCATTTGCAGCTAGGCAAAATTTATCTTCAATTTATCTTACTCTTTCCTCACTCGTTAGCATTCTATTTCTTTTCATACTTTATTTCTTTCTTGTACAAGCAATTACAATCAACTTTTCCGTAACAGCTCGTTGTTACATTGATATTGTGTATATATAACTAGGAGAACAAAACCGATTCATTCATGCTTGTGATTGCACACAGAACAAATGCTGTTTCAAAACTGGTGGGGGATGAAGTTGTAAAAAGTTATAAAGTGAATTACAAAATCTTGAATTCTTAGGGACGGAGGGAAGGGGGGATAGAGGCTCGATACATTTTTCAGTAACTTTCGAATTAATGTACCGTACTTTGTTAAATTTTTCGGTAATATTTTCGTAAATTTAGATTTTTAAAATATAAATTGTAATATCTTAATCTTGATGTATAAAGTTAAAATCTGTATTTTCCAATGTTTTAATTTTAGGGGCCCATGATGGCAGGGGACCACAACAAGTTCTCGTCGGCTCGTCTTTAGCCACCAAGTCCCTGCACGGCTCTTAGGCAATCAGCGTTCAGAATTTACAAATGCTATATTATAATAACCAATTATAACATTGTTATATAGTAAAGATTAATTAAAGATAGTATTTTCCTGGCATTTAGACTTGAGTGTTGCATTTCCTGCGCTCTGTTTGCTGGGCAAAGTATTAATAATGGACACAAACTGAAGGCATTCAACACGTTAGTTGGGTTTATCTGGCTGGGGGTAACGATTCCTCCCAGCCGCTTTATTAATATTTAACTTTCAAAGATTAGGATTCATATAATATGTCGCATTAAAATGTTCTTAATTAAACAGTTCTGCCCAGGAAAGGTGAGGGCAAAATTACGCCGTTACTTACAAAATAGGCAATAAACATTAACAATCATGACAGATGCAGACATGGGGAGGAGGTGGGTGATTAATAAATTTTGATATCTTCACAAAGTGGTGTTCACTTCGCTGTAGACTGAATGCGACTGATGTGAACCGCATGAAAGTATGTACTATAAATGACCCCCTTTTCAGCCATCTGCTTGATCATTCCGCACCCTAGGGACATTCTCGCCATTTCCTTCGTATGACAATTCTTATCTTACCACCACCTGCTTATCAATTATAATAACCAACCTATCTACCCCAATGTCTCAGCCGGAAAGGCATAAAATTCCTATTAGCAAGCAAATATTATATATCACAGTGTAGAAATTAATAAACCGAATATTGACGTAAAAACAGCTGCAAAGGATGTATCCATCTGGGGCTCGACGACTTCCTTTCTGGAGACCAGTTCCCGGATTGTTTCTTTCCCACAGACCATCATAGAAGAACCAATGGGGCTCCCTAAAGATTGCTCCAATTTTAAAACGTCACTATTTAAATTAATTGTCACGTACGTTTGGTACATAGAATTTGGTAGTTCAAAAAAACAAAATACCAGGCCTCTTCAAGACTTCGTCAAACATAGGTACGCTGTAGCGTACATGGCGTCTACTGAGTACTGGATAAAAAAACAAGGAATGCTTAATGTGAATAAAACACAGGAAATGACCAATCTATTACAATAAAGATAGGCTATAACATATCACACAAATATACACTTTAATTTATAGTAGTTCCATTGCAAATATGGTGCGTAAATCAGTACTATATACTTCACATGCAAGCGTATAACGTGAATGCAAAACTTCATCACGTCCAGCCATCTGCATTGTGGCATCAAAACAATATGGAACACAAAAACGAAGAAATCTTTGAAGAGATATCACCTATACCGTCAATAAACTTTTTTGGCTGGCGGCTGCAAACCGGATATTGCGAAAAATGAATATCTTGGAAATGGTACAATGTTCCTTCCAGGTTATATGTTCATCAAGCATTACCCCCATTTTAAATTTAGGGACTCTTTCAATATCATGACCATGAATAAAGTTTAATTCATTATCATGACCATGAATTTCAATATCATGATCACAGATCGTTTATTAAAATCTTCCGAAATTTCAAAATTTAATTTACATTTAATGAACATTATTATAATGCAATCATTTTGAACTGTTTTTGTTTTGGTGACTCTTTTCAGTTGCAGCAACAAGCGAACTAAAGAGCGAATCTTGGTTTGCCAGGAGAACAGATGGTTTATTGAACTCGACAATCTGAAACATATAAGATTGTTACCAGATTACCATTGGTTAGCAAAACAGCCTGATGGCATAAACTATCATTATTATTAAAATATGGAAGTATCGGCAAATAACTCTACTGAGAATGATCTATTAAGAATATTTAATGTTATAACTATATGGCGGTACTATGGCTTAATCTGAATGTTGATCTGACTTCTGTGTTCCAGATTATTGACAGAATTTCTACTACTGAGCTCATTAGTTGTTCGAGTAAAATGTTTAATGTAAGCGATCATGAAACCTATTTGACTATTGCCACTTAACACAACTAATGCATGATTTCAGTGGTCCATATTATCGGAACACAGTTATTGCATTTTTTGGAACACCCTGTATTCCTTCAGTCTTTTGTGATCCCGTAATTCCTAAACACATGCAGTGCGGATTCATTTCTCAGGTAAATCAAATTTCGTAGATTAGAAGAAATGAAATGTTAACACTAAATACTGTAAAGGAGTACAGTATTAAGAATAAATTATTAAAAGATCTTGCAATCGAAAAGGAATAAAAAAATGACAAGTAAGAATAGAGGACATTGTCAAAACATGAAGGTGAGTTACATTTGGGATCATACCTTCTATTGGAAGGAAAAATAAATGGATAAGGAGGATAAAGGAAGACACAGAATTAGGTAAAAAACATAAAATTTGAATGGGCATGAAAAAAATTTTAAATGAAAAGAACGCAGCCGAAGGTACACTACATATAGTGGTTGGGAAAATAGGCAATGTATAATTATGTAATCTCATCGTTTAAGTGAATGGAAAAAATCCTTGCACATAACGCTTGTTCATGTGCTCAAGATAACTCGCGGCCTGGTTACTATTGCTACAGTTTACTGAAACATACAATGGAACAATGACAACCCGAATTATTTACATCAAGTATAGATAAGCCTATTCCAAATAAAATTCATGCTTTCGCAAACTGCAACGATAGTCACTAGACAGTTATATTCGATGTTGTGAATTGGGTAAAAACGCTACCGTGTATTGACTTAGCGCTTACTGAGCCAGGCTTCAGATTATAGGCGATTCCCTATAGATTCACAGTTTTTTGTGCATCCTTACTTCTCCTTGTTCCATGACCATAATCCTATCAGAATCCATGACTGTATTGAGACGATGAGCTATCGTTAACATCGTGCAATCTTTAAATGCTTCACGTATCGTATCCTGAATTTTTGCGTCTATATTGAGGAAAATATGTCTGATGTACAGGTTGCAAATTAGTCTGCTGCTTTAAAGCAAAATAATAATCTTTGTTACCTCCTCTCCGTGTGTTACGTATTAGCCATTCCGAAGTTGATGAGAGGACTGGGGACGAGTGTTAAAAAGTGCCCAAATTAAGAAATGAACCAAACTAAAAAGGCCACCTCAAAATTAGTAAGTATACGAAGTTTGAAGATGTTTTCACGAATATCCTTCGAATAAAAAGCTTTCGAAAATCGCGATATTTACTATAGTGAAATGTACTGTAATTTTTGGGGACGCGCGTCCCCAAAACAATCTTTTAAGCCGGTTTCCATTAGGTGGAATTTTGCGCGCGGAGCGGAAATTTTCTTTGTCTTGTGATTTCTCGGGTGGAACTAATTAGAAAAGACAAAGAAAGATTCCGCTCCGCGCGCAAAATTCCGCCTAGTGGAAAACCGGCTTTAATCAGTAATTTCACAATTTTTGAAAGCTTATTATTCGAAGGGTATTTATGTAAACGTCTTCAAACTTTGCATACTTACTAATTTTGAGGTGGTCTTTCTAGTGATTTGGTTCATTTCTTAATTTGGCCACTTTTTAACTCTCGTCCCCAGTCCACTCATCAACTTCGGAATGGCTAATTAATACGAAAATTTGCAGGAATAATGGACATTAGAAACTGTTGCAATTTTCAATATTTCATTCAATTTTGAAGTTACTACTTGTTTGGATTAATACCAAACATTAATAACACAAATTCTGGTCAAAATTTAAAATATATATGAATGCACGATATTAATCATACCCGTTTCAGAGTCTATTGCAGCTGTGGCTTCATCAAGCATGAGGATCTGAAAGCAGGCATTAAAATACGGAATTTTTACAAGGACGCACTTTGCCTTCAGAGACGTATTTTTGGTACAAATGCGCAGACTCACGAGGACGAGTGGCGAAGTCACCAGTTTAGTGTCAAAGACGCGAGCTTTTAAGGGGGTCTCTGAAATGGCATTTCCAGAGTTCTGAGAACAGAATTTGCAAAATCTTTGGCCATTTTGTGTGGATTACATTAATATATTTTCAGTTTAATATATTTTCAAGTACACACTTTTCAATTTACAAGGGCACATTCGCATTTTACAAGGACACAAAGTGTGTACAAGGACACGCTATTTTAATGCCTGTCTGAAAGGTAATTAAAGAACCGTTCTTACTATATTTGTTTCTTCAATTACTAAAACGTCTGACAAATCCATGCCATATAATGTCTGTTAGATATCTTTGCTTTTGTAACGTGACCCTTGTAATCATAACTGGAAACGTATTTATTATATTGTTGAACGAGATTGGTACTGAATTTTGCTCCAAATATTCTGGATGTTGCGCTCTCTACATAGACCATCAACCCACCTTACAGTTTCTCAACAAAGCTCTGGCCATGCACATCAGTTGTCTTTCACCAACAGAAAAATTTTCTCCATTTTCAACAACAGGTGCTTGTAATTTCAGTGGCAAATTACTGATAGTGTCTTTGAGATGTGCTCTTTCTAAAGCAAGCCACAGTTCTTCATCGGTATGTGTGTAAAATGGATCCAGATTGTATCTATTATAACAAAATATTCATTTACCGCGTACAAACTCGTGGAATAATTTTCAAGTGAAAATATGAATATCGCAAAACGAGGAAATCATTCAATCAATATGCATTAATTTATTTACATTAACATAATATGGCAAATACATGTATAGTTTCAAATTCATCGAATAATGTGAGTTGTTTTCATGAATCCTAGTAATTCCTTACCCTACTGTCCCAATAAACAAGATAGGATCCTGCGGTATAATTGATAATTTCGATCGAAGATCGCTGAGTCCTGGAGAAAATGAAAGAAAAGGACATTTTACCAGTTGCATTCAAGTGTAAAGGGAAAGAATAATGGAAAGGGAGTAATGAGTAAAAAGGAAAAACAAAGATGAACTAGAGGGCACTCAGAGACTGCATACCTCCGCCCGTTACTCGGAAGTGAAAGGCAACCTCGGAATTTCCTAAGAAATCCACTTTACAATTCTTAAGCATAAAAGATTTCAGGCCCCCGCGAATTGAAATCGAATTGCTAATAGAACATATTACTGTTGTTGTGCTGTACAGTACTTGTAAAATAAAAACTTATTAAGTGTCATTAAATAAATGCATAAATTTTGCTTTATGCACTCGCGCGTGCAGTAATTTTCACAGTTGTGCTATTTTAAATTCCCAGGCAGCTAAAATCTTTTGTCTTTAAAACAATGTCAATTTCTTAGGAAATTCCGAGGTTGCGTTCTTTT